CATTTTGACTCCAGTGTGTAAGTCTGTGACGTCATGTTCTTGTCATAGGCGTGACATCACAATGGAAACATTTGAAACTTACAACCAATCACAGGGCTGATAGGTCATATTACATGGGTTAATATGCACTGGATAACACAGTACATTATGTGATAAAATGAAATACACCATAACCATATAGTATTATACAATGCAAATTTCACTCTTGTAGCTCAGCCTAACACAATGGGTTTTATTGTAGTATCGCAGTAAAACTCAATGAGCGTATCAGCATTAAAGACAATTACATTACAAAGGTGCTTACTATTACAATACAGTGTAATGCATTAATTAGTGTATTGTGATACATACACACTATTACATTGAACACTTTTCGACGCTTTCTCGTTATTTGGTGGCGAAATACAGTGTGTATTGATTTGTTCCCACATATTTTATAGAGCATTGGAACGCCGTACTCCACCCTTTTTAACTGAACAATTTCCAGCAAATCAGACACAAACGGAAATAGGGGTTTCCACCGTCAAAAGGGGTTCAAGTGCACCAAATCTTCAATATAATACATTCATACCAGAAAAAAAGTTACATCTGAACAGCCACATACGGAAGTTTGGGTTACAGCGTCGAGTGGCTTGTATTCATCCCCCATGTGCATCCCGTACAATGCACAACTTAACAATTTCCGTTTATGCAATGACAACAGGAAGCAGTGTCCATGGTCACACGGGCTCGTATCTCTGGATCTGTGTACCATCTTCTTTACTGATGTGAACGCCGCGATTATGATTGGACGAAACAGTATATATGATGAACCAATCAGCGTTACGATCAAAATTTATCACTTTTTAATCTTACAATTGATTTAGTTTATTGAGACTAGCGTTTTATTATTATAATATTTTTTATTTTTTTTTATTTTATTTTTTTAAGGTTCAAATTGTTTTATTCCCCCAGCATCTTTGGGAAGGATGCCAGGGTTGGGGTGCCCCGGTATCATCCCTCTTACATAATATAGCCTCATGCAAAAGGCCTCTTTCTCTTCATTCTCTCTTTCTTTTTCATTCATTCTTTCATACTCAAATCCAAAAATCATTCATTCTTTCATACGTATATTTCATTCACTACAATAACGATAATATTTATTTTGATTAAATTGATATATTGAATTACATCAACCATTCCTTCTTTATATATTCAAATATTGAAAGTATTTTTATATTTATAAATTCATTTACATGCCAAAAATTCTGCTTTATTGATTTGGGGTTGCCATATTGTCCTAAAATTTAGAGAAGATAAAACCGAATTCATGTACTTTGAATGATATTGTTTTTCATGTGTAATTTGGATTAATTTAAGAAGGAATGTCTGTGGAATTAAAAAAAAGAGTACAAATACTAATGTACCTAGCAATTTAGACCTATATACATAAATTAGCGTTTTATTAACGCCTAAGGCCGTTTATGGGGTGTGCTATTTGTGTAATGTATGTGTGTGTGCTGGAAGTGGTACCTGTACGTTTGTTATTGAAGCATTTAAGTTATTGCTATTCCGCAGACCTGATGCCGATTTTAGAGTGCTACTGCTGTAAACTATTATGTTAACGGCACCCAGAACAGTATTCCACGCGGTATCATAATACTGACAGCAGGAAACCGTCATTAGACTTCCCATTAAACACTGAACGTTTATCTAGCTATAACAACCGCCGTTTTAAAGGATTTTAATATGTCGCGGCCTGCATTCTGAACGTATTGTCTTCCTCACATGGGCGAACATTCTAGAATGTAGTCAAACATTGGGTGATACTAATTGAGGCACTTACAAGTAAAAAGACCAAATAACAGAAATACATGATAATACATGTAAAGATAAGATGCATGTAGACAAGGCTACGAATCTAATTTCACATTGGGGTGCATTATACACCTTATTATTGTCGCCAATGTGCCATTATACACAACCTCTGCAGGTGTGTGTGTGTGGGGGGGTTGTCGGGTTAGGAAAGAGGAAAGAAGTATCGTAGGAGGCGACTAATGTTAATGTTGATACCCCCTGCAAAATTGGGGATTTGCTTTGAACACAAAAGCGACCAAAGTAAATCTGCTGCACCTATTCCAATATTTGGGATCTTAATCTTTCATTCTACTTCTAACTACCTTTTATGTCCTAGCGCCTTGCTTGTCAATGCCTCACTTTTTGCCTTGATGTTGAGCGTGCGCCCGTGTGAGAAAGGCGATGGGTTATGTTCCCAGGCCGGGACATACCAAAGTCCTTAAAAATGGTAGTTGTTATTCCCTGCTTAACGTTCAGCATTTTGGGGAATGGCATCAACTGGTTCACCCGTTGTCAGTATAATGTGACCGGGTGGAATGCTGTGCTGTGTGCCTTCGGCATGGCATTTCAGTGAGATAGCACTATAAAGTCGACATCAGATCCGCGCTATCACTAGGAGGCAAGTACACCAACATACCCTGGCTCCTGCATACACACACGCAAGCACGCATACACTACCCTCATGAAGGCACGTCCTTAAATGACCTTAGCTGTTAATATTTAAACGAAGTTAAACCAGGATGGTGACATGAATTGGACGTGCAAGCACTTGGCCTAGGTTCGATCCCGTTATAAACGTAAACATATTAGAGGTATTGTTATTTCCGAGCACGCTCCATAAATATCTCTTTGCGGAGAACTAATCAGTATATTCTTTGGAATAGAACACAAGCACACGGACCCGAAAATAAATAACAGGGTACATACATATATCTGGATTTAATTGATTCTCGCAAAGAAAGACATACTTGTTGATATAGACTCGGTCAAGTGACGGCCCCACAAAGCAAAATAATTTCTGAAAGCATTGATACTGACCATTAACAGGTTGACCGCCATACAGTCATACCACGCCTACTGACTGACCAAGACGTCCTGACCATCTTCCATTATGACATCAGTGTAAGCCGATAAAGGCATTAAACAAGAGGCGTTAAACGGTTTTTGAAATCCATTACTGGTGAATTGATAATCGACATTTGATGAAAAGATTTCATTAACGTTAAAACATTTGGTAACTGGGGCGGAACATACCACTTAACACTTTGCGCAGGTGACGTGACTAACGGTGGCGAAATTTAGGAACGCTACTACGAACTCAATGTGTGAGAGCGACAGGGGCAAACATTGTTGATTACTGTCCCGCTGAGGCAAAACACAAGAGGGTTCAGCGGTAGATATTCGTACACTACAATCAGGGGCGTCGGATCACATCGCACGTGACCAGTCTAAAGTATAAGGGTAATAAACACATACTAGTTTATCAGGTGACCAGTCAACATTCGCAAGGTGACAAACACCATTTTATCACGTCACTAGTTAATTATATAATCACGTGACCAGTCAAATATGAGTCCTGTAGAAAACAATAGCGTGTTACATTTATTTATTTTAAGGGTACACTGTCTAAACTAGTTGATGTACAACAACGTTGGGAGTCTGATAACAATGCAGTATATAGTTCGCGTGATATTACAATTACTCAGAAAGAGTACAGAGTTTGGTAAATATAGGATCTTACATGAGTTTCCATTTCATATGAGATTTATGACACGAGTCTAAGAATTTTTCAATTTAGCGAGCCTTTGGCGAGTTTCATAAATTTTATTTGAAATGAAAACGAGTGTAAGATCATTTTTATCACATAAACAAGATATGTGGCATTTACTCGTGTAAAACGACAATTTTCATGCAACCTTGAAATGTAAAAAGTCGCCATTTTGACCCCAGTGCCTAAGTCTATGACGTCATGTACTTGTCCTAGGCGTGACGTCACATTGTTGAAACAATTGAAACTTTCAACCAATCATAGGGCTGATAGGTCATATTACATTCATATTATATGCGCTAATACGCAAAAATATGACATGGGTATATTCACTGGATAACACAGTACATTATGTGACAAACACAAACCTTTTGAGTTATAAATCACCGAATTTGCTTCGTGCGTTGTATCTACTACAGGATATTTTTGTTTTCATTCCCATTTTTTCCGGTTTCCAATTGGTGCATTGCTGATCAACCCTGCTCTCCCATTTTATAATTAAACATCTGTATTTATGTTTCAATCTTTCAGTTTTTGTTTGTAATTGCCGCCAGGAATAATTCTAAAAATGTTGATGATGTGGCGTGTCATTATTTAGGACGGAATTAGTCTCCGTAGTCGATCATGGTATACTAAATATTTCGAACTTTGATTTTTTATTTCTGAGCTGGAATTGTGAAGACCTTCATTGATTGACATGTCTTCTGATAGAACATATATATTTAAATATTGTTTAATGATTTATGTCTTAATTTTACCTCAGATGAATTACCTACGTCACTGATAAAGTAACATCATCTTTGAGTTAAAAAACAAACACTAATTAATTTATATATTAAAAATAATAATTCAACTTTTAGGAAAATTATAATTAAATATGTGTAATGAGTAAACTTTTTAAAAATCATGCTTTGTTTGTCACTAATACAAATTATTTTATTTGTGAAATTAAATAAACAAAATCGCCTATATTCAATTACATATTTGTCTTTGAAAAAACATAAATAGTCTAGTGAGGAATTTCGAGTCAAGACCCTTAACTAAAGGGTAGGGTTTACATTCAATGTATATAAACAGTAATGGCTGGTTGCTATACTCCGAAGTAGCCACTAGGCCCATTCATTACCCAGCCAGTCAGATAACCTACAGCGTACAATAACGACCGACATTTACTATAAAAACATAGACCCACACAGTGAGTTCCGGGATTATCTTCCCATTTATATTTCCTAGTAGTTGACCTTTGACCTTCCGAACATATCCACGCATGTCATATTGTAAGGTGTTTTGTGGGGAACGACCGAACACTTGTACGTATCCGGCCGAGGGGTGACGTTTTCAGTTCCACTTACTCCCTGCACGTGTATATATATATACATATATATAATCAGAGGTATCTGTATTAGCAGTTAGGGCCGATACCGACGTGGGACACAACGTGCTGACCTTTACAGCAAAAACGTACCTCGTGAAGCTGTTTCCTACAGGAATTTAATATAACTTGGACATTATAACTTGGACATTTTAAGGTAATATTTTGTATTTTTATCTTATTCTCTATATGCATATTTCGAACTGCAAAGTAAAAAATGGATTAAATCATGTACGGTATCGATTGTAATTTTGATATAAAACTGTACACTTTTGAAAACCAGATCACGATAACAGGTTTATAGATTTGAAGTTACCAAACTGTTATGTCACATGTTAAACATAGCAATGCTGTTGACGTTTCATCACCATTTAATTGACACTGTCTGACGGTCATATCCATCTACAGAATTAGACTTTATCATAATTTATTGATGGTTGATAGATAAGTGATATTTTCGGAACTATACATTAGCAGCATAAAATATTCACCGCCCATGGAACCTATAGTTTGCGTTTCGTTGTTCGTTGGTTCTAATTTTAGTGGGACTCAAGTGTGCGGCCGTCTTGGAATCGTCGCACTAGTACGCTTTAACCTTTCGTGTTAAGCATCTTGGCAAACTGTACGGGTAACATATTTTCTGTAAGCTGGCTCAAATATCATCAGATCTGCAAGGCTACAAATTGAGTTAAAAACAGGTGTTTCGCTAACTCTTCAGATGTAGAGTCTGCTCTTGTTAACATTTATATTGGCACCAATAGTATCTGGTCATTGAAGCAACGTGTGTTTATTAGCAACGAAACTGTAGCCTTTTCTCTATAAACATCTCTACTGTTTTTACAACGTGTTCGTGAATATATTGGCCACCTGGTGGCCGTTTCGGCTCCGTGTTACAGCAATTATAAAGTTCTTCCCGGACAAACCTGGTAACGAGGCACACATACACCCTCACTAAGTAACCAGGCTCTGTTATTTATTGTTAGTGTCAGTATGTAAAGTGTAGCAGAGACAACTGTTTCTGGATTATTTTCTGTTGTGAAGGTATATACAGTGTGAAACGCTATGTTCTGAAAGCGCACGTGCGTACGACCGTAAAGAAATAAAATACGAAACTCGCTGTTTTATCTCACAACGCAAGGTTTGATGACGTCTTTTACAGTATTTGAAATATGTGATAATAAACATTTTTATAACGAAAAAAAATATTTATTTTTTCTGATGTATTATAAATCTAATCTTCATCTGATGAAGCAAATCACAGCATTTTTTCTGTTGTTATTTCCACACATAACCGACCAATCACAGGACATATGGTATTCCGTCTTAATTTTCGCCCTTTTTCGCACTCCGGTATTCCGTCTTTGCGTAGTGCAGATTTATCTTCTCTTATGAGCAGGTATCGATTGTTACGTGATTGGTGTGTGTGAGAAAATTACTTCGTTTTCCTCAAAAAATTGATGACGTTACTCTCACAAACCAATTACGTAACAATCAATACCTGCTCACAAGAGAATATAACTCTGCAATACGAAAAGACGGAATAGCGTGGAAATATAAGAGCTGAAAAAATGTCAATTGTGACGTCATGATAGTCCTGACCGAGAGAAAAGATTGCTAGCCTGCCCTAACAGTAGTCAGTGGCCTAAATGACCATTGTCCACGTGACTTAATACATTTGTGTAGTAACTGTATACGTTCTAATGTTACGGATAAAATGTTATCAGGGGTATATAAACAAGTAGACAGACACATCCGATGTAGATCATGAATGTCTTCAGGCGCTACGTTAGTGATACTCATATTAGGGTTTGTCAACGGCTAGTCGGTTATAATTAAGCGGTCACTCGGTCGAGAGACCACGAACCGGTTATCGGAATCTTTCCATACCTGGCTTATTCAGTCTTTGCGTATTGCAGAGTTATCTGTTCTTGTGAGCAGGTATTGGTTGTGACGTCATTTGTTTGTGAGAGAAACGTCATCAATTGTTGAGAAAACGACGCAATTTTCTCACACAAACCAATGACGTTACAATCAATACCTGCTCCCAAGTGAAGATAACTCTGCAATACGCAAAGACGGAATACCTACACACAAACTATCGAGGAGACCGAAATCGGAAATTTTGATAATGTTCAGACTGAGCGATTAGTGTTGTTATAGTAAAGATTGACAAAGAGATGCATACCATACCATAAAAATGACTGAACAGATTTTAAAAGTAAGCCAGAATAAAAAGTTGGGAAATATAACTTGCGAAGCAGAATTCACCTGTAAGAGTTGAGTGTAAAACATAAATTGAATGAAGTTACATATATGTTTACATACGTTTAGATGTTCGGAGCTTGAAATATGCGATTAAACTATCGTGCTTATTAATTTCTTTTAATTGTAAAATGCTTTTTGAATAGAACATTAGTTTATTGTTTGGTTAGAAAACTTACCGATTAAGCGGTCGGAGTATTTGTTTCGATTAACTGGGTTACTAAACGACTCTCATTTATATATATATCATATGTACTCAAGTGTCCATTTCCCTTAACCACGTAATTAGATTAGACCGTGCCCAAACATAGTATAAAGGTGATGTACTGTCCTCAGCATACATTTGCACTAGATTACTGTACCAAGGTTACTTAAACAATAACTGGTTGTCTGGATGTAAATATTGTTGATACAATTACAAGTGGCCTCTGGCAAATCCCATAAACCCACTAGGCCACTTGTAATTATATCAACAATAATTACATCCAGACAACCAGGTATTTTTTATATTTACATATTTCTCTTTTTTAAGACATATTCCTACAAAAACCATTTGCACTGCCTCAAAATACATTTCAGGCGGCCATTTTGTTTGTTTACATATTCCTACACCTGAAACAGGCAGTTGTTATAATAGTTGAGCAGTTGTAATTATAGCCTATATAATTACACTTGCCCTCTAACACTATTGTAATGGGACGGCGCGGGGCAAATGTAAATATATTTGTATGAAAGCCTTTTCAAGATGGCGGCTCTGCGGGAAACGAGAAGGTATGTCCGGATTTCAAACAGCACTATCCATAATGTATATAATCACTATTGTTATACAGTACCACCTATCGTGTTTGGTTCTTAAATTATAATTATATTTATGAACAAATTTGGACAATTATGGAATCTGAATAAAATGAAATCTTCCTGTAAATATGTCAATACGCAGATATGCTCTAACCAAGCAGGATATCAGTTTTATGCTTGCCCCTTCCTAAAACAATTAAACGTATTTTTAGTCAGAGTGTTAAATGTAAATTTCAGCCTATATATGCCTCTACTGAAATAATTGTGTCCTATGCATGACTGAGAAAAAACACAATGTAGGGAAATTTGGCCATGCAAAGACTTGGTCCTTAGCAAAGATTATGGTGTTTGCCTCAATCATGCTAGAAATAAAGTCACAGAAAAAATAATAATTTCCTTAGAAACTTCAATTTTAAACTCTGCCTGAATACAGTTAGTTGCTTTAGGTAGGGGCAAATTAAAGCTGATATCCCGCTTCGATCAAGCATAAATATGTGTTTACAATCTATAATCTACAATCCTCCGAATGCATTTGAAAAACGATACAAAAATTCTTTACGAATTAAACACGATAGGTGGTATGCAAATAATGATTATATAAATAATGGATATTGCTGTTTGAAATCGGGGCTTACCCTCTCGTATCCTGCCGATCCGCCATCTTGAAAAGACCTTTCAACGCACGTGCACGACAGTGATTCATAATATGTTATGCAATTAGTCACTTGTTGTCATTAGTTTGTATCCCAAGGATGAAGGCTATTGTACCATGCTCAAAATCATGTTCAAAGTTACTAGGTAACGAAATTTTCTTAAAAAATATGACGCCCATGCAATGTTGCAAAGTAAAGTAAACACTGTTTTAGGTATAAACCTACATGTATGCTAAATATACATTCTAAAATCTAATAGATCGTTTGTCAGAGTAATCTATGGTTCTTGCTGAATTTAAGTAATTTAGAATCATTATCAAATTATTGAAACCAACTTGTCTCGTGTTCTTTTTAGCTTACTTAATCTACTTTTCGGTTGTCTGTTTGCGAAGTTTAACGGTGTATATTTTTTTTATCAATTTTGTAAATGATCTAGTTACATTTATAATAAAATCAAAAAATCAAAAAAAATATCGAAATGCTGATTTTAATATCAAATTTAAAAAAAGAAGTTATCCGACATTTTATGATTATTCACTCACATCTCTCGCCGAGTATACACCCTCCGAGTATTTTACATACACAGGATTAAAACAGTTTGATATCTTGTTTTGGATGCTATTTTTATCATTACCCCGTATTTTAGATATAGAAGTGTACTGTGTGTAGAGCATCGTATAACACTTATACTGGCAATGTACATGTACTCTACAAGGTAGCAAAATGAAAAATAAAAATATTCCCCACTCTGTAAGATAGTAACTGCTTAGGATGAAAATGTTCAAACAATGTGCTCAGAGTCTTCCGGCAATATAGATACGTAAATTACGACGGGGAATCCTTAAGAATTGACAACAGAAATGGTTTGATATAAATAATCTACCAACTCCAGCAACTTCCCGACATGCAGAGGTCGTTTTAAAGATAACACGATAACGCCCATACACGTTTTACACGTGTAGGTTTTATTACAGAAGGGTTCCCACGTAGTCGATTAGGAGGTTTCGGGATATCTCGTCTTCAATGCTTATCTCTGTTAATAACGTAGCGAAATTCTCACACACAAATATTTAACATTTGGTATGCTAAAGATAAGACGCAAGCTGTCGTTGAAACTCGATCACAGAAAACCTTTATCGCACAATTTCATCTCGGAAGCCAGATTACAAGACTAATAACTAATTCGAAGTTAGAAGAAGAAGAAGAAGAACGACAACAACTTTACTCACTGAATTGATTCATTTGACAGGAAACAAAATAACGGGACTTTTTTTAGTTTTATATACTTATTAAAAAATTGTATATTTTCAGCATGATATGTAACTCCTACTGGTTATGCAATCATACAACTAGGAGGATAATTCTAATTTCTACCGAAGATACTTTAATCTACTCTGAACAAACGCTGACCTGATCACCAGACTGCAGCATTATACTATCTGCCTTTCATTTAAAACATTATTATAATGTCCACCTTTCCGGAACACTTGATTCCATCTCCGGCCTCTGTTTCAATCAATGCCCCCCGCCCCACACACTTAAAACACACACACTCATACACATGCTTTTCGTATTGCATTGTTTGCTTTGTATCTGTATATTACTGGAAGACCCCAAATTTGAGTATAAATTCCAGGGTTGGAGGAGTGCGCTTATAGTTAAAGTTATAGTTAAATGCTTTAATGCCATTCTACAAAACGTTTTATCGTGTAATTGTGTGACAAATATGCTACTATAATATCTTTACTTCTGTATTTTCAGATTTGGAACTCTCTCGTTCATCACAAGATGTTCGTTAAAGCTACACTTGCCGCGACGTGCGTTTTTCTTGCCCTAATCTACAGCGTAACCGGAAGTGATCCTGCAATGGTTGACGATGGCCATTCAAGAGTTCCGGTGAAAACGACTAAACGAAAGAAGAAGAAATATCCACCAGGTCCAAGTGGGTTACCTTATTTTGGAGTATATTTTCAAGTTATTCCCGGAAAACTTCACGCGAATATCGAGGACTGGAAAAAACAATATGGAAATATCATAAGTTTAAAAATGTTAGGACAAAACATTGTTGTCTTGAATTCTCCCGAGTTAATTCGGAAAGCGTTTGAAAGTGAAGAATTTGCCCCTCTCATGAGTGACAGACCGCCGAATTTCATAGGCGAACATGTTATGTACGGATACAAAGATGTGCTTCTTAACAGTTACAACGAGTCATTTAGAAAAATGAAGAAACTTATGATATCTTGTATAAGCAAACATGGTTTCTCGTCCAAGCACTTCCAAGACATAGCTGACGAGGAGTTCCGGTGTGTTCTGAATCAGTTCCACGCCCTGAATGGCCAAGCTGTTGATCCTGTCGACCTTCTGTTGCCGTCATTCTGCAAGCTCGTCGGAGGATTTGTAAGTATGGTTGCGTGGTGTTTGTATAAGAGACCGGGAATGTGTGGTTTGTGTATACGGAACAGTAAACAGATTTGTTATGAATGGGACAGTTATGGTGGAGAACGTAAGGGAGTGTTTTTTCACGTTGGTTTTATTTTCTGTGATTAAGGCGACTTCCTTCCACATTATTGTTTCCTATGATTTACTTCTAGGCGATCAATTAATCGGCAGAGATGTTGATTAACGTTAATTGGTACGTAACGCCCTTTCGTCATTCCGATTGGTTAAAATTCTGAAAAAAATAAAAAATAATTTGCATAAATCCTGATTCGTGGTGGCTATTATCATATGTACCTAAATAGTATATTGCCATGACCATTTTCGAAAAAACTTTATCTCAGTGACTTTATTAAGATGTAGAGAGGGGGGAAGAACAGTGAAAACACCTTTTTATTGAAAAAAAAACGAATTAAAAAGAAAAGACATTGGAAGCGATTGTTTTTTAAAGACTTCGTATTATATCACTTTAAAAAAACGATGGCCGTTTTGTTTAAAAATTAATTTTATAGACTTCACCGTCAAATCACTTTTAGAACGACTACCATTTTGTTACATTGTTTATATATATATGTCTTCAAATCACTTTAAGAAAGACGACCGTTTTGTTTCGAAGTTTGTTTCACATAGACCATAGACTTTACCTTCAAATCACTATAGATTTTCAGACTTCAATTTCAAATCACTTGAAGAAAAATAACCGTTTTGTTTCAAATTTTCACGTTATGATTTATATAAGACGCAGTTCATTAGGCGCCTTTCTACAAGCTACAGAGGTAAATACGTCTAAAGGGACTTTTGTCAGTTGTAACGACACACGGTGTGGGTATGTTGAATCAAGGTCACGATCATATTTTAATCGGACGTGATGCTAAAGGCATGTGATGGATATGGGACAGTGTACCGAAATCTTCCCAGTACCTTCCCGGTCATTCCATTCAGACGCTTTCCATCGTACATCGTCGTCAAACAGATACTAGATCTATGTCCGTTCTGTTGACCGTTAGGAGTATCATAGAATCTTACTCATTGATTGTACAAAACGTATCGGCATCATCTTTAGCAGCATACTGTTTGGTAAAACAAGGGCAATAATTGATTATTCAAGATCAGGAATGGTGTTTTTTTGCAAGAAGTATTTATTTTTCCACGTCAGAATACACAAGCAATATTTTACATCGTTTCCTTTTAAACTCTTCGCAAACTATCTACTCGATAGTAAATCCAGTTCTATCTCAACACTTTTCTACAAAAAGAAAGTTACAAAACAGAAAACACCGGCAGGTTGTGCATGTTAAAACATGTATGTAGTTAGACGAGCCGACTTCCGGTGCCTAATTAGACGCACATGTCGCGGAAAATAGAACCATTTCTGTCAGGATTGATATCATCTGATTAAGTCAACAGGTACAGTTTACACTTCTCAGTGTCAGTATTGCTAATAAGCTCTTCTGCTAGGCTAGCGATAGCGAGATTGTTATCTCGTAGAGAAAGGTATGTGTCTTGACCTCGGTGCTATCTAAGACACATTCATGTGCCGTGAAAGTGGGACGGACACAAGTAGACTTCAATTACCCATTTACGTGTAATATTAACCATGACAACAAATTGTTGTCAGTCTTAGCAGGTGATCCAACATCGAGTGCATTTCGTTATTTTTAATATGAGCTTTACCTATGACTTTGTGCAACACGAGGTATTGGTTTTCGAATAGTCGTATAATATCTCATAGTAAAATTATCATACATCACGTAAACCATACTGCAGTGAGATTGTCTTACAGATATAAATATTGATATATGGATACTAAATGACACAGGCATTCATTCTTTGTATATTTTTTATTTCTCATCAAGTCAGGTTATGTCTTTTGGGGGTTCATTGTGTCACGTGGCAGTTCATTGTGTCACTTGGGAGTTTATTGTGTCACTTGGGAGTTCGTTGTGTCACGTGGCGGTTCATTGTGTCACGTAGCGGTTCATTGTGTCACTTGGTTGTTCATTGTGTCACGTGGCGGTTCATTGTGTCACGAGGCGGTTCATTGTGTCACGTGGCGGTTCATTGTGTCACGTGGCGGTCACTTGGCGGTTCATTGTGTCTCTTGTGGAATCTTTGTGTCTCTTGGTGATTTGTTGTGTCTCCGGGTTCCATTGTTTTGCTTAGGGGTCCATTGTTTCTCTTGAAAGTGGATTTCTTTACAGTTAGGTGTCGTCTCTATTATTGCACTTAGTTCGTTATATTAATTTCAGTTCTGATTTTCCTTTTATGTATATCACAAAGGTGTAGAACTTATATTCCGAAGTAACGTATTCGGAGTTCTCAACCTTTATCCATATATGGTACAGTAATATTATCATGTTATCAACTAGAAAGAAATCCTAAGTACGTGAATCCCGAACGGAGCTATAAATAGGCAAGTGATCCGTATCTTGTGTATCTATTTATTAAGTAGATGAATTTTACATAAAACTTTTCACTTTTATAACTGCGTTATCAAACATATTCTTGAAATCACTTAGTTTTAGCGGGAATTGATTCTTACGGTTTACACGCTCTGACTTTATCGCGAAGATTCAAGTTCGCTTAAAAGCAATTAAGGACAAACTTGATTATACATTTTGTTTAGATGAATTTAAATGATTGATATACACATATTTTCCGACGCGATACACTTTATTCGCAAATAGACGTGAAAATATGAAGCTCACGAAACAGAACTGACAACAGTATTCTAATATATTTTGACACGTTTATTTTTAATTTGTGTAATTAAATTCGGTAACACGATAGAGCTATACACATATGTCCTCTCACGTATTGAAAGATTATATATACAGGGAAACCCTGATTTACACGTCAAGTGCTATATCCGGGTTACATTATGGTACTTTCCCGGTAAGGAGCGACCCTATACACCGCAGCGTAAACTGGGACATGTTTGCATATTGTACTCGCATTGTTTACGTGAATGTGGCTGGTCAAGTTTCATTGATATTGTTTTAAACTTGCTTATCTACAATTGTAAACACGTGACTCACTCATTTTCTGTTTTTTGTTTACGAATAGGAAATTGTTTATTTACAGATGTTAATTTAGGAACAGTTCAGCAGAGCGCTATTTGTATCAAATACCATCTGTGTAATTAATACCATTTTCATAATTATTTTAATAAATACATATACATTTGAAGATTTAATAGTTTTAGTAGATCATGGCTGATTTGTAACACGTGATTTGATTGGTTCAGATATTGAATTACATCACAATAAATCAGAAAAAGACGTTAATCGGGAAAATGGAAAATTTATATTGGAATTCGTCAATAACTAATAACAAATATTCTTATTTTCCTGCAGTTTTCTGGCAAACATCTGAAGGATGGAGATCCAATCCTCGAGAGCATTATTGCCATGGATCACGATGGTGACGTCATGATACAGCCTCAGGTTCACGGAATCCTCGGGAAGTTTCCTTGGTTACGTCACTGCTGCGGTTTCTATGGCAACCTGTACAGCAACGTCATTAAACAACGAGAATCACTTTTTCAAAGTCTCGTTACAGAAATGAAGGTTAGCTATACCTATGTAATATTATAACAAACAAAACAAAAACAAAATGCGTTTGAAAAACGTGGCAAAACTTTGAACAATCTATATGGTAGATTATATGAATAACCATTGATAGTTCATTGACAGATAATATTAACCTGTATCCCGTTCTATTCCGTCTTTGCGTATTGCAGAGTTATCTGCTCTTGTGAGCAGGTACAGATTGTTACGTCATTTGTTTGATTAATTTGGTTCGAATGGTCATTTAAGTTCCTGCCTTCATCTGGGTATAATGTTTGCAAATATGTGCGCTTTAGGCGGTATTTATTTTTGCAATAACGCTTAGCTGATGCCGACTTTAAAGTGCTACCTCACTGAAATACAATGCCGACGTCGCCCAGCAATAACGTTTTCCTTGTCACATTATACTCATGAAAGCTTGATTAAAGTAAGGCAGGTATAATAAGTAACATTTTAAGGACTTAGGTATTTCCCAACCTCGGTAAAAAAAAACTCATTGCCTTCTTAACTTGAACCAACCTTCCACACTATGGCAAAGAGTGAGGTTTTGCGAAGGAAGGCAGTTGGAAACAAATAGGAAGTAAAGAGAGAAAATATCAAGATAAAAAATGTTGCGATGGGTGAAGCAGTCTTTCTTTGGTCCTGTGTGTGTCTTTATATAGAGGACCCAAAGCAAATCTTATAATACAGAAAGGTATTGCCACATTTCCTCATGCAATAGCAGATGTATTCTTTTCTCAATTCCCCGACCTGCAAAGGGTTCATAAACATGAACAAGTAATAATTTGGTATGACTGACACACAAATAGCTCAGCTTTTTCAAATCTGAGAGGATGCGGCACAAAGAAGCCGATTAAAAGGTTTTGTAAACAACAACAAGTTTTAAGAGAACATATGATATATTTCCCAGTCTTGCTTGTAACGGAGTGACATTTCTTTACCGAAGTAATTGGGGTCTTTGTATTTCTTATAACTTGTAACAACCTTTTGTTTCCTTGGCAATGCCTTACTTTTGGCGCTGATGTTGAACGTTCGCCCAGACGAGGAAGGCAATAGACTATATCGCCATGCCGGAACCTACTAGAGTCCTTAAGATTGGTGGTTGTTAGTCCCTGCTTTACATTAAAAATTAAAGGTAATGAAAACAACTGTTTCAGCTGCGCCTGGTGCCTTCAGCATAGTACATGTATTTCAGTGAGGTACATGTAGCACTGAAAAGTCGGCATCAGATCTGCAGTATCGCAAGGAGTAAAATACACCAATAACACACATACACTTGCATACACTACACACATGGAGACATGTCCCTAAACAAACTGTGTTGCTGATAGGACGTTACAATCCGTACAGCCAACTGTTAGTAATTATGTGACGTTGCCATTGTATTGTACTATATCTAATTCACAGGAAACAGTTAATAAGGATAATGTGCAGTGTTTTTCACACCAACTGCTGTCCTGGAAAGAGGCGGAAAGTGATTGGCTGACGGATGAACATATCAACGGCATGCTCTTGGACCTGATAAACACATGTATGTATAACCGGCAGCCCGAAACTATACAGTAATTGACGGAGTAGGATTCGGGGAATTCAGTCTAACCGGAATGTTTACATTCCGAGGAATTTAATTGAAAGCAGTAGTAACAAACATTTTGAAGAATGGTGTAAGTCTTTTTTCTCTTTATTTATTTAGATATTGATTGCAGGTTTTTGTATCTGGTCTCGATTTACAACACACCGAGGTTCTTACAAATACAGTATACCTGGCCAAAGAACATTTTATTGTTAAAAATGGGGATGGGGGTCATAATACTGATAAACCAGTGTTTAATATCATAAATAATTAGACGTATAATTTTTTTTGTGTTTTGTTTGTTTTCGTTTTAACTCTATGTTAATTCAAGCTTAACCTTATTTTGCTACGTAGGTATTGTGTGAACATTAAAAAAAATTAACACTGCATCATAAAAATTGAGAAAGAAGGATTAGAAAAAGAGGGTAGTTGACTCGTGTTTAAAAACAAAAACAATTATTTTCTCTTTTTCAGCCGTGCTGACCACAAAAAGTGTGATGTCCGGTATGATTTTTATGTGGCTCCACCTACCGGACGTTCAACAGAAAATGAGGGAAGAGATCGATCTTGTGATTGGACGCGACAGATTACCCACAATCGAAGACGGGAAGAGCATGCCATATGTGCAAGCATGCATTTACGAGTTGCTAAGATACCAGTCACATCTTCCGATGACGGCTGCACATGCTAACATAGACCATGAGGTGGAGATTGAAGGTTTCACGATACCAAAAGGAACCGTCGTAAGTTGAAGCAGGGCTTTGTTAGTCAAGTAATAGATGATGTACAAGTAGCGAAGGTGTACATGTCCTGAATTCTTATTTTCACTTACAATGAATCAAGCGCTTTGTAAATCATAATCAATCAAATGTAGGGTTTTTTGTTCCATTTCCTTAACCGATGGTATAATGATGTCAATCCATCTAATAGAAGGCACGAATTACGCTGAACAGTTTCTGTCATTATCCGCGCCGCTTCTGTTTTATGGCAATAGGATAAAATAAGTGAAATGTTTATAGTTGTTCATTTGTAGCCACCCAACCTCCTTCTCCATTTCCTGTCTTTGTTCGTAAATGGACTGGGTCGATCACCAGTGACCAGGTAGCTCAATTGGTTAGAACGTGAGTCTAGAGTTTGGAGGGTCCCATTGTAAAACTCTGGTCTGGCCGTTGCATTTCTCTTTCTTCTGGTAGAAAAAAAGTGGCGAGATTGCCAATCCTTTTTCCAAGCGCTCGGTGAATGTTTAGCAAGGGTATATCCGAACCTGAGTTGTAAATAGTGTTGTATTTGGTAGCGAAGACTTTGCAAAATGATAGAGAATTGTAGCGGAACTGGATTTGGTCAATCGTCCAAGATCAGGTAGCTCAATTGGCAGAGCGTCTGTCTAGAGTTGGGAGGGTCCCGGGTTCGAACCCCGGTCTGGTCGTTATATCTCTTTCTCCTGTTATATTAGAATGTAATATTAATGTTTGAGGGAAACTTTTGTAAAAATAGAATCTTAAAAATTTCCTATATATTTCTATGTCAGTTACATGGAGGTAATAGCACACTTGTATCAGCTATGGACCTTTATGGAGGTGAATGTGTAGTTGTATTATCCTGGCTTATAAAAAGATATTAACCGATATGAAGTCAAGATCTATATATCTTTGTATGTCTATGTTACCACATGTTGTTTTTTAACATTTGATGTAATTGAGCTAAAGAATATTGTTAATTGACAGCACAGTGGCGTTACAACTAAAGTGGAAATAGTAACACTGATCTTATCTTGTCATTTGAAATAACGAACATTATAAATGGACGGATTGATAACAACTAATTCCGTCTTTTCATATTGCAGAGTGATCTGCTCTTGTGAGCAGGCTTTGATTGTTACGTCATGTGTTTGTGAGAGTAACGTCATCAATTTTTCTAGAAAATGGCGTAATTTTCTCACACAAACCCATGACGTAACAATCAATACCTGCTCACAAGAGAAGATAACTCTGCAATACGCAAAGACGGAATACGACAACGAGATACACCTAAATCAAAAGGATTTTATTGTTTGTTTTTGAATTGTTATACGGCTTAGCGAAAATGATAATGCTCCAAAAATGTTTTTGTATTGTTATACGGCTTAGCGAAAATGAAAATGCTCCAAAAATGTTTTTGTATTGTTATACGGCTTAGCGAAAATGATAATGCTCCAAAAATGTTTTTGTATTGTTGTACGGCTAAGCGAAAATGAAAATGCGCCAACAAGATTTTATCATGAATTATATTCGACACTACAGTAATGTTTCACTTCTGTACAGATTATGGGGAACCTGTACGGGGCCCACCACGACGAGGAATTATGGGACGACCCCTGGGAATTCAGACCAGAAAGATTTCTTAAAGATGATGGCACGCCTGTCCCCCGGGATCATGCCTCTCATAGAAAGTAAGTTCAGATCATCAGGGATGGGCTGGATGATAGGGGCTAGGTATCAGGGATCGAGGATCGAATGGAGGATAGGGTTAGGTAAAGTGTATCGCTTAGAGCTGCCAAATATGTTAACGAGTCTATGATGTCACACTTCTATATTTACCATCGTATGGCATTGCCACTTTATAACCCAACCAGATTCAGATGACATTCATATAGGCTATGAATATTAAAGAGAGATTGTTCACGTCAACATTATTGTGACGTCATAATTGTTACGTTTAATACCACTTACCCTCTCCGGGCGAGGGGTGTTCCATTCATTGTACAAGTATACACGATTGATATATTGAAATAAATGCTGACTAGTAATAAGTGTAATTGATCAAAAAAATATGTGATAAACTCCTTCCAAAAATGGTAAATATAATTATTGTACTGCTTTTAGTAGGCATTCGTAGGCAGTATGCATTTCAACTAGATGAAAGCAAATAAAACATGGAGCGCTAGCGTATTTCATTGTATCTGCCTTTTTTCAGATGACATCCATAGTGCCTATGAATGCCAACTGAAAGCAGTTCAATACTTAAATAATTACCAGAAAAAGGTATGACATCACACACCGTTGTGATGTCACACATATATATCTACAACAATAATTTGCGACACCACACACCTATAATTACCACCATGAATTGTGACGTCACACACACACATACAGTGTACCTGCCATTATGTGTTTCAGACGTCACACATCTACTCCTATAGCCATGAGTTGTGACGTCACACCATTATACTTACCATCATGAGTTGTGACGTCACACCATTATACTTACCATTATGAGTTATGACGTCACAAATCTATACTTTCATCCGTGAATAGTGATGTTTATGTATTCAATTTTCTTTGATACAAACCACAATCAAAATCAATGAAGCTTTTACAAATGTAAGATTTATTTGTGAAGATATTATTTATGGAAAACTTCGAATTTAATTGAATTTATGATCCACTATTTATAATAATATCTTGGTTTGTTTTAGTTCAATTGCCTTTGGAGTCGGTGAAAGAAAATGTGTTGGTAAAGAAATGGCCTACAACCGGATGTTTCTGTATACTGTGCATCTTCTCCGAACATTTGAGTTCCTACCGGAAGTGGATACAGTACTTCCGCCCCACCATCCCCGCCACTTCGCGCCGTCGGCCCCAGTTATCTTACCACATGGCTTTAAGTGCCGAGCGTTACCGAGATGATTCCCTTAATTTTATTGTTGTATGAAAATATTGTTGCGTGATCTGGGAATGCCACCAACAACCTGAACAATTTTATGTTTATAAAAGTGAACAATCTTACCTACGCACAAGGCCATTACATTTCATTTTATTTCCAAATAAATCAAAATAACATATCTTCCATAGGTACCTTCATAGTATCGACATGTTGGTTAAAAGCCTCGATAATTTATCCATATGATACTTTATGTCTTTGGTGGCTAGGACTTGTAGCTTTGATTTAACTTGTTTTTACCTGAATTTTACATAAAGAAAATAATTACCTATAAATGGCAAATTTGTGATCTAAGAGCAAACAACTTGGCTTTAATTAAAGTAATTCTTTTAAAAATTCATGTCATGAAATGACGAGTCTTTAACTGGTGTAATATTTTTTCAGAAAGTTGCTTTTTTGTCAAAATAGAAGTCGTGTTTAAAAAAATCGAAAAATTTCAGAAAACAAACAAGAACAATGTACAATATAACCCCCCTCTCGTACTTGTATTCCTGTAAAAGAAACTATGCAGGTTTGCAGATATTTACCTCAGAGTGTACGTAATTGTCAACTAAAAGGTCGTCATCTTCTCAATGCTGAGTCCTATGTTCGAACAATTTTTTTAAGTTAAGATTTGCAGAATTTAACTTTTATGTTATTCAATTTTAGTTATTGTTTTTTTCTTTTCATAAATTGATCCTGTACACCTAGATATACTTTAAAAAATTATATATATCTATATAAAATGATCCTGTACACCTAGATATACTTTAAAAAATGATATATATCTATATAAAAACAAAGGGTTTATTTTTAATTATCCTCATACAAAGTTAATTCATTTTCATGTAAATTTGGTGTTATTGTATGCAATGATTGTTACAATATTATATGTGAATATTATGTCGCCCATGTTGTCAGGACTATATTGTAGAAAACAAAAAAAACCCGTAAAAATGATAACTTAAGTTACTGAGCACAATACTGGCCTTATAGCGGGTTTGGCCGCTTGCCAAGAGATACGTAAATGGCGTGTTATATAATATTGGTCAAAAGGCGCCCTCCAGATTTGTTGGTAGTTCGTAATGCGGCAACTGTACGAGGGTAATTATATATATATACAACTGAAAATAACGATCATTAGAAATGTCTATAAACTACTATTCCGTCTTTGCGTATTGCAGAGTTATCTTCTCTCGTGAGCAGGTATTGAGAAAATGTGAAATGTGAAAAATTACGTCGTTTTCTCAAAAATTGATGACGTTACTCTCACAAACAAGTGACGTAACACTCAATACCTGCTCCCAAGAGAAGATACCTCTGCAATACACAAAGACGGAATAGAGGCAAGTGTGAACTTTTATGGAGGGAGTGGCAAATTAGTGGTCTTATATGTGATATTAATTTTGTTTTTAATAGATAGAAAGTAGACATTTATAATACCTGTTGGTTAAGACGGACATTGTTTTCTTGATAAATATGCCTTTTTTTTCATTGGTTAATTCAGTTATGACGTCACTGTAAATATGTTTATACTATACAGCGGGATACGTTGTCGTTGTGTGTTGATGCTGTGTTGTATGTAGTCCTTGTTCGTTCTAGATGTGGTATATTTCTCTATTGATATGTTTGTATGGTAGATTTGTTGATATTTTTACATTTAGTTTTATTTTATTAAAATAAAATTATGATAAATTCTGAGATTTTATTCTCTTTTTTATGTAAATGTGAGCTTACTATGATATTTTTCGAAAAAAATAACTGCAATTAGACCTTTTCTGAGCGGTCATTTTGCAATAAAGCCACTATTTAATTAAGTCTTATCGACGACTCCTAGAAGAAAGAACTAGATGTTAAATGCTCTGCAATTCGGGTTTGGTTTACTGCATTTATTGTCAAATTTTGACGGTGCATTCACCTGGTTGTCTATGTTACTTTCATCTTTACCGATGTGTTTACTTTACTGTCAAATATATATAGGATCTTACATGAGTTTCATAAATTTCATATGAAATGAAACCGAGTGTAAGATCCTTTTTATCCAATAATCAAGATTTGTGGCATTTATTTGTGTAAAACGACGATTTTCACGCAACCTTGAAACGTAAAAAGCCGCCATTTTGACGCGTATGTCTGTGACGGCATGTTCTTTCCCTAGGCGTGACGTCACAATTGAAACAATCGAAACTTACAACCAATCACAGGGCTGATAGGTCATATTACATGGGTTAATACGCAAACATTATGACATGGGCATATTCACTGGATGATACAGTACAGTATGTGATAAAAATATATATTACATACTTACTAATACATACGTTTTTTTTGTATATGCGATACGACACAATTGCCCTAACCCATATCAGCCCTCGCCGTATCACACCCCAAAACCCGTATCAGCCCGCAAAACCCATATCACACCCCTTTTGGAAAAAAATTCGTTTTTCAATATTTCAAAAAAAAATTCAAATCATAAGATAGTAGTTTTTATTAGTAAGTATGTAACAAACAGAATAAAACACGCCTTTTTCCATATTACACCCAGTATCAACCCTCGACCAATATCAGCCCTCGGGCCTTCGCCCTTGGGCTGATATTGCAGTCTCGGGTTGATACTGGGTGTGATATGGAAAAAGGCATGTATTATTCTCTATATATGTAGAGCAAAAAAAAAGATATATCAACGGACTTTAAACTTTCACTCTCAAAAGGACTTTTAAGGCTATTTTAATTGGACAACGTCATGATGTCACAAGTATACGTCCTATTGTAAATAAAATAGCAACGTGACGTCGCAATATACACAAGATTAGCGAACAAACTAACGTACATGTAGCACTGTCGCCTGTTGAGACTAGATTTTAATATTCTCGTAGAATAGTGTCACATTATATATATAAGGGTAACACATTAAATCTATCACCGATACATTTATGAATATGTTAATTAACATGTACATTTCGTAAGTTGGTGTTAGTTTGTCGTCTATGTTCATTTTTGCGTGTTTAACCAATTAAAATTTCTCTCATTTATAATAAATTATACCATAAATCACAATTTTCGATTTACAATTCATATATTGTAAGTCACTGTAAATTAAACCATCCTTGAAGACAAGAGTGCTACATTCAATAATCTGACAACAAATTTAAATGTATGAACTAACAACAATGCGTTCTCCTTCAATACATTTTTTTTTTATTAATTTTTCTATAACTAGTATATCACTGATGATGGACATTCATTCAAATGCATGTCTTTTATTTTATAACTAGTACATCATTCATTCAAAATACATGCCACGTATTTGTTTACATATACAAACTGCCGCCCTGGTAAGCATGCATTGAATATGTATGGATTGTAGTAATATTCTGTACCTATAAGTTGTAAACTTTAGGAAAATAAAACGAACATTGAACACTGAAGTACAATAACCACAGGACATGTAATACACCTTGGTGTCGTACGCTTGGATAATTTTATATAGGTGTTACACAAGAATGATCAAACTTAGAATATGTGTCGCATTCGATTCAAATTATTCGGCGTGTGTCTACTATGTGAGATGGTACATGCATGTTTATCAAAACTGTTTCTCATACGTTTGCTATCTTGGTTCTACTTTTCGTTCCTGTTCATTATAATAGGATACTAATTCCGTAGATTGAAAGTAGAAACAAATGGAATAAACTTTGCATTATAAAAATAATTAATAATAATAATAATAAGAATTTGAGGTTCTTATATACCGCTTTATCACAACCTAGTTCCTACTCGTCTCAAAGCGGTTCACAAATTATTATCCGTGGTTATATGGTCTTTGCAACCAGCCAATACCTTTCTCAACTCCACGGGGAGCATACAGCCGGAGCATTACCTTTTTTTGTACATATGATGTAAATGGCATTTTTTCGATAGCTGTCCGTATGCCGTATTCTATAAATTCAGTAGAAAGCATTGAACTTGAAGGTATTACTTTATCAGTGTTTCATTGTGACAGAATCCTACAAACCTTACTCCGCGTGGCCATACCTTGAGGGGGTTAAAGGGAAGTAAGAAATGGACAATGTTCAACAAAAAGAAATAGCGGAACAATACCTTGACACAGATTTCAAAAAACTGTCACAGAGTCAAAAAAGCTCCGAAAAACAAAGACAAATGCAAAATAGGAACACTTGTACTAGCTCAGTGTCACAACCATCATCTCCAAGTGTTATTACGAGAAAGAGTTTGCACTTATAATTTAACTCATTCACCCCTGAAGACACATTTGAACCCTTCCATTTCAAAGGTTGGATTAGTTCATTATGAAATTTCAGGGGTGAATGTTTCTATATTTGGACTTGGATAACAAGATTATATTAAAGTGTTATTATCAAGTTTATATGATAATAAGTTCATTAGATAATATGTGTTTACTTTGTTGTTTCAGAAATAATTCCGAAGGGGGAAAAAGTTATTAGTATATAGTTGTACGAACATTTCTGATACGGACTATAAATAAATTTTAGCATTTATCTGATAAAGAATATACACGAGACCCGTTCTTGGTTCTAACAAGATGGCTCCCAGCAGCTAAACATGCATCATATGTGCACGTCTCTTCATAAACCCCAATGGAGCGATATTCATATTGTCATATTAACCTGCATTTTTCATTTGGACCATTGAAAGAATTTCATTCATGATTTCATTACTACTATCTGTTTTGAAAAAAAAAAAAAAAAAATAATCATTTGACTTAGATTATCAATATAGCTGTAGGTATGATTATTAAATCGCACTACTGAACTTTTAATAAATATTCTTATTCAATCCTGGCTTCCGAACATTAAATATATAATTCAATAGTTAGGTTGAAAGGCTGTGTCGTAGGTACGGGTTAAGCTTTTAGTTTCCATGTAATTGCCATACGGTATCAGCCATCATCGAAAATCCAGGGGTTACACTCATTTTCGCTCTCTTCTGCACCCCGTGAATGTGTCAAAGCGATATTGAAGGCACTTGGCTAGCTATTTGATTGGTCATTCACTAGGCTGATACATGTCCTTTGAAGATAACAAAGGAGCAATATGTTTCTGGAATTTACGAATCGTACCGAAAGCAGATATTTCCTTCTCATATAAACATCAAATAGGCTAGTGTTTTATACAGTGTATGTCTATCAGACATGCTGTTAAGCCCGCCCCCTCTTTTTCCCGGTAAGACAATAGCTTTAATAAATCATTTCTAAAAAGAAGAAAAAATACTTTGCGGTACTTTAATGAGAGAAAAAAAAAGATGAAATAATAAGAAAAAAACAGCAACAAACAAACAAACGAACAACGAGGTGCAAGTCCTTGATTCGAACCTTGGACTTAAAGCTGGAAAACCATCACTCTTACCGGTTAAGCTACCTGGTCGAAAGGAAGCGCCCTGGCCTAATGTTCTACTGTTATAGCCAAACGAAAGTTTGGGGGACAATTACTGTAAATAGAAAAAAAATACAGTGGGATAGGAATCCTTAAATGAACTCGGATTTTAATTGGATGTAAAACCCTACAAATCAAAACCCTACAAAGACAGAATATCACGTTAGATATTGTACGCACGGGTTGACGGTCGCATTACTTTACAAGAATTCAAGCATTTACAATGACCTGTTTACATCGCATTAAATTGGATGCATGCATTATAATTTTACATTCACTAAAAGTTCTTTGAAATATAACACAGATTGTCAGATTTCATATCACTTCTTACTTGATATATTTGTCCTAGCTTATGTCCATTAATATACATCTTATTTTGTGAATCAAAACATAAATCAGCTTTTCAAACATGTGGCACTCAGTATAGATTTTGCCTAAGATTGTATCGCTTACCTCCCTTGAAACTCTACTCTACTGTTTATGGAAAGTCACAGAACGCCATAGCATATGACATGTGTTATCGTCATATACATCAGTACTATAAATAGCCTATATTATACCACGTTTGCGACATAACGACACTTCCCATGATTTATTGGATGATAGATCATGTGCGTGCATTAATTTGTTTTCCCAACAGATCAACGCTCTCCCAAAATATACACCACGAATTAATGTAAACAAGCGAGCTGCACTTGTGTCTG